AAAAAAAAAAAAAAAGAAAGAAAAAAGAAAACATCGGCTTGGATGCCAGGAAGGAGAGATTTACTTTGGGGGAGGGTGAAACTCATGCTAAGCAGCAAATTCTATATGAAACAAGTAAAACACACAACTTGGCAAGCCTGAGGTTGCCATCCTGATTGAGGCAAGAGGAAAAATACATCAGCCAGAAATGTACCTGGATGATCCTAGAAATAAGAGAACTATCAAAGGCTCTCCACATACCCATGGCTTACTAGGAAACTATCCAAATGAAGAGACCAGAACATCCTGGGCACCCTGTAGAGTGTAGTGCTAGGACATACCTGAGAACTCTGTGATCTCCAACCTATAGAAAGATCAATGGCATAGGCTCAGCGCCCATAGCATGGTGGTTATGGCACCAGCCACGTGCACCGAGGCTTGCAGGATTGAGCCTGGCCTGGGCCAGGTAAACAACAACTGCAACAAGAAAATAGCTGGACATTGTAGCGGGCACCGTAGTCCTAGCTACTTGGGAGGCTGAGGCAAGAGAATACCTTAAGCCCAAGAATTTGAGATTGCTCTGTGAGCTGTGATGCCATAGCACTCTATTGAGGGTGACATTTTCTCTCTCAAAAAAAAAAAAAAAAAAAGATCAATGACATAAAGCAGAAACCCCATAAACTGAAAGTATCTGAGCACAACCTCTGTTCAAATAATTGATAACAGCAGTACTAAAGACAGAGGACAATATTAAGAAGCCAGATTTTTTTTAAAAAAGTAAACAAATAAGGAGAAAAACTATATTAAAAAGAAGAAGAAGAAGAAGAAAAGAAAACCCTGAGCAAACACATTAGGTGCCACACACAGCAGGGGAGACTGACTGTAGAAATTAAGTCCATAAAAGTTACTAACAGAATCCAGAGTTATTACAATATATCATCCAAAAGTCTAGTTTTCAACAAAAAACCATAAGACAAGAAACAAGAAAGCACAACCTATATATGCTGAGGGGATAAAGCAGGCAACAGAAACTGACACTGAGTAGACCCACTGTTAGATTTATCAATGATTTCAATAAACTATTATTGTTCAAAGAACTTTTGAAAACCACGTTTAAAGAATTAATGCAAGTCTTAATTCATCAAAATGAGTACATTAATTACAAACAATTTTTATATAGCAGTTAAACCTCAGTAAACCTTTAAGATAAATTAAAGGAAAATATGATGATAATGACTCAACAAACAGGGAATCTGGAATAGAGAAGTTTAAAACTACATTAAAAACCTAAATGGAGGAGGAATTCTGGGAAGATGGCCGACTGGTAGCAACCCACAGCAGAGGCTCCTGAGCAGAGAAGAAAAGCTGAACGGAATCAGACTCTACAAAGCCAAAAGTGGGGAGCTGAGCCAAGAAAGAAGTTCAGCAAGCTGTAACTCCAAAGAAGAACATTCAAGAAAACAAATTACAGGTACAAAGCCTATTGACTAGAGGACAGGAGACCCCTCCCGCAAGTAGGGGGCAGGCTGCAGGCTATCTGGGAGTGAGCAGGGAACAAAAGACCTCTCATTTTACCTTGCTGGAGAGAGCTGCTAAACTCAGGTCTCTTTCTCCAGGGAGGTCCCACTAACGAACCTAGATACTACCCTACTGGGCATAAAATCGAACAGATATTTTTCCCCACAAGTCCAAACTCCCAGTCTACCCTTTCTCCCTCACATGGCAGTCTGAAGTTCTGCCCCCTGCAGAGCACAGAATGTTTGGTCTTGTCCTGAGAGATCTGGAATGCCAGTATGCAATGCCAACCATCAGGACGGAATCTGTGACTAACAGGGAAGAAAGAGGGTGTGGGACGAAAAAGACACTCGGTGGGAAGAGGAGCAGTCCACCTGGTTATGACTATGCCCGGCCAGTGGTGGTGTTGACCCTCGGTTCAGGCTGTGTCTGGCAGGATGAAGTGCAGAACCCCCAACTCTGATGGCACCCACAGTGGGAGAGTGGTTGCTCCATGTGATCTGATTTCAGCAGACAGGACTGATCCCCAGCCCCTGTGGGGCCTGCAAGCAGAGGCTTGCTAGGCATGGACTGAGACCTAAAAGCAAGGGCATGGCCCCCTGATTCCAACAGAACTCTCGAACAGTAGCTTACTGGGTATGAACCAAAACCTGAGGGCTAGGGCATGCTTCCCTGTCTACAGCAGGCTTAAAGAGGACTGAGA